GCTGAAATAATGATGAAAACGGACAAGTTAGTACCATACTTTAGATTTGGTCACATGTCGTGCTCACGAAGGCTCTCAAAAGGAATAGCAGTATGCGCACTTTCAAGTGTTCTACAGCGAGAAACACCACGTTTTCTTCTGCGTCCTATACTGAAACATTTCTGGCACAGCCAACAGACAAACGGACTATCAATCCAATAGGCTCTAAAGAAAGTATTTTGCTTGTTTCGAAAAAAAACAAACAAAAATCCCTAGCAAGCTCCTTTTTACACGCATTGAATAAAAAAACTTTCGACTGTTATTAGCCATGGAAGAGTTTTTGAAATTTAAAAGAACACTACCAATACTTTGGGTCATCTTCAATAAGTAAATTATAACTGGCTTACAGAAGTGGACACTTAATGAACCCTTAGTTCGCGAAATGCTCTGCTTTCCTAAAATGAAATCTCAACAATCTATATCTAAGAGTTGAATCCTGTAGCCGCGCTGGAACGAGGCACTGTATGAGGCAACCGATTCACAGCAGTTAACCCAAATTGACATTATCGTTCAGCATTAATTGTTGAGTTAACTTCCGGAACGCTTGCAGTTTAATTGTAATAGTTGAAGTAGAGCGATTTAATTGGGCGCTGAACGACATGCCCTAAGGGCTCATGGGTATTTTATCAGATTTTTTATATGCTTATATGTGATGCTGTTGCAGAAAGTATGCAACGAAAAAATGTTGGGCATGAGATTTGTATTTTCACGTCGACTAATACTTAACGCCCGAGAAGTATGCTAAAGGGCAATCAAATAAAATGTTAAAACCAGTTAATAAATTGGATTCTAGAGAGATGCATGTGAATGCGTGAGCAGACTACGAAAACTGTCAAATAGTCAATATAACCAAAATTTTTTTATCAGTTCTAAATAACTTCCAGCTTAATTTTAATTGGGGTTCTTTTTATCTACGAGTGAACATCCTGGAACGGTATATCCGTGGATCGATATTCAACTCATTCCTGACTGGCGAGAGTAGATGAGAACACAGTCAGTCTTTTATGGTGCAGGGTGCACACTATGTATATTTTCACTGTGCTCTGTTCGGTGAAACAGGCAGTGTTCAAGAAACAGAAAAAGTAGAACACTAACGTTGTATCATGCGCGTCTACTTTTTGTCGTTTATTTAGCGTTACCTTCTTCCCAATAATAGTTGATAAAATAAAACAGCATGGTTGATACATTGTGTGGAAAAAGGACTAACCTCCACCGACTGTCTTTTGTTGCTGTAGCCTCATTAAAACTAGAGGAGAAAGAAAAGCAGATAAACTTCCTCATTAAAATGTCAGAATGCTTTTTTTTGACTAGTAACTTTTTAGTTGCAGATAAGGCTGGACGTTTCTCCCTCGAAATGTCCCGCGTCGGTAGAACCAACAAGATACTTTGCAGAACGCATGATCCCTCGGTGGATTGAACTGTCTCCTGTGATAAAGTCAGTTCACTGGGCCTCATCATATAAATGGGCATGGCTATTAATGAAAATTTACCTCCATCTCAGAGTGAACTGTCGGAACGGTATAGGGTCGTAATGATGAGGCTTTGCAGGACGAAACTTCGACCCGCTAACTTGAAGTGACGTATATAAACTCGGCGCTATCTCTCGTATTCACGCATAACTCATTAAAATTAGGCCGAGAAGAATTTTATGGTATGCGTTTAAACTAATGAAACAATGAACAAAATACCTGAATACCCTGTGGAATAAAAACGAGGAGGGAGATTATTCGCCGTCATCGGCCACCGATACGCAAACCTGGGATGCAGCAGTGTGAAGACTATTCACCTGCGTGTCCTGTATATCCTCAGCCTCAAGGTAAAGCGAAAATGATTATTTCAGTCCTTCTTCGACCAGAGTAGATCAATGCGCGCCATTCTCATCTGACATTGTAAGCTTGACCTCGGCCGAGATGACGCGAGGCCGTGAACTCAATGATCAGGACTTTGCTCGATTATCAGCTGACTTGGGTAAGGTATAATAGGCGTGTTGTCTGGGCCTAGGTTATCACTGACTAGAGACGGTAAATAGGTCCAAAAGGGCCACTCCAGTGTCCCCGTCTTTCTCTTATACTGACTGTTAGTCATGAGGTGGTCTCCCGCGTGGACTGTTGTTGGTCAGCACCATGGCGTAGCAAAAATGTTCATTCCCGTTCTCTAATCGGAATATTTCGGTAAATAAAACGCTTGAGTGAAGTCCAAGTGAATTATAAGCGGGTAATGAACATATAAAATCGAAATACATTGAGGAAGTTCACGAGGTCGACACTGAAGCATTGCCAAAATACCACATACGACAGCTGTGTTTCTGAGAAAAATGGATTCTCTAAAAGAGTGGAATCCTGCACGCTTTGCTGATAAAAAGCTGAGCCTAAAACATAACTAGAATGCGATGTTGCTTTCTATGCAATGTCCAGCGTGCGCCCTACAGCAAGCTGGTCACAGGAACGCTGACTTGAGCATGAATTATTTCATAATGATAGTAGACTTGCACATGATTGAGAAGAAAGAGAAGATTCGATCGCTGGGACAACACTTTTATCCGCCTGGCGTTTCCACATCCGTCGCGGATTCTTCATCAGAGAGATAAACAGAAAGCAATAGCAGAAACGGGTAATATATGGATAGGAATGTGCGGTATTTATAGGACACAGCCATTAGCGCAAACGTATAACGTCAATTAACGACAATTTCCTTCTTGTGCGTCGATAGCTTGTTGACCGACCTGTGGGCTCCGACTAGATGAACTTTCATCACGCGTGGTGGACTCGGCCACCGGACAATCGGGCGTGACGATTGCTCGGCCATCTGACTCTCCGGTGTTGGCGTAAGACGACACGGTGGCCTGTGCGTTCCCCAAGTGGCGACATGCTTTGCAGTAGTGGCTGTGTCCTATAAATCCTGCAAATTCCTGTGCATATGTTACCTGTTTCTGTTACTGCTTTCTGCTTATATCTCTAATGAAAAATTAGCGACGGATGTCGAAACGGCAGGCGAATAATAGTGTTGTCCCAGCGATCGAATCTTCTGTTTCTTCTTAATTACTTCCTGGGACTCGCATGTTCGCTTGTATTCGCACATGCTTATGATGATAGATAAGAATAGGTTCGCTCGGACCAAAGTACGCAGGACTGCCGGGTGTACATTCAAATAAAGGTCAACGGGAGACGAAACCAATCCTACATTACGTGAATAAATGCTACCGCTCCCTGAAATGTAAGTATGTGTGGTGTAATGCCACCAAAGAAACGCATCTTAAACTGGATAAAGAGGTTCTTTTTATCATATTTTCATTCAGAGAAAAATAACATCGATGCTAACCAAAACAAGCCTTAAGGTCCTTGCACTCGACAAT